AATGTGTACTTACATTTACGAGTCATTAAATCATGTTTAATCTGGACTTCTCTGTGCATGCTCTTTAAGGTGGTGACCATAGACCTCCATTATATGACTGACAGACAAGAACCGTTTGACCTAAAAATATCAAAATTGAAACTACTTTGGAAACAAAGACACCTACATCTTGGATGCCCTTGAGGTAAGCGAAAACATATCAAAAATTAATTTCAAAGTGAACTATCCCTTTAAAGCACAACAATGCATGATATCAAACATTTAATCGGACTCTTTGGTGTATTTACACAATGACTAACAATGACTGGAGTCTGGAGCAATGAAGTAAATCCACCCACCTGTGACAGGTGGCCAACTTCCAGGTAAAAACAGATGATGAAAGAGTTCCAGCCAACCCAGAGCACAAGCCATACAGCATACTGAAAGAGCACACACACAACTATATTAATTAACACATACGAGACATGTAGTGTTCAAAAGACACTTTTCCTTTGTGAATTCTGACATTTGTTTGTCTGATTATGCTTATGCCTACCAGTATTAGATATCTGGAGCGGATTTGCACCGTTCCAAATGCTCCCAAAATGACAGCCACAATGTGGAGGAAATTGGCCAGGATGGGAGCCCACTGATATCCCAAAAAGTCAAACACCTGCCTCTGTAATGCAGCGACCTGTGAACCAAGAACAGATTACATGCACAATCATTCAACTTTTTATTGCATGCACAAAAAAACGTGTGCCAATACAGATAATGTCACGTATAGCTTGTCCCACATCATTGCAGACTTCAAAATGAGCTATACTGGGTTTATTTAGGCAAATATGAGACTGGCAAAACAAGCTTGTGCTGCAGACTCCCAAGTTACATTGGCAGGAAAGTAGTACACAAAATCTGGTATTGCTGGCGACTATTATTGGCAGAGATTGACGTGCGCAGCATTCATCCAAGAAACGGCCCAGTGCACATTAACCACGGAAAATTCTTCGAAGAAGGATCATCAGCCACGGGAATCTGCGCCAATGCGATTCTCGTACACTGGAACGTCCATCATTGACATTGACAAAGTACTGCATGTTCTCTGCTGCTTCGCATGTGCATTTAGCAAATATTTTGGTTAATTTGATGATGGAGAGAGTCTGGTGGTGGGTTAGTTAGCCAAACTCCAAAGCTGTGTCTAGTCCATGTTTGCTGTGCACTTTAAAGGGATAGCCTACTCCACCTTTTTTTCATATTAAACTATGTTATTCCCTTAACTAAGACGAGTTGATACATACCTCTCTTGTCTGGCGCACGATACACTTTGATAAGACTTAACTAGCCCAGTTCATTCAATATGGGCCAAGCAGAGAAGCGACCAAACACATTTACCCTATTTAAATGCAGTGTAACTCGACCTAGGACAGTGACGCAAAATAAAACGCTGCACTTTTCTAAGCGTGTAAAGTGGATAATTATAATGTATGGTGGAATACCACAGAAAGTGCTTGGGAGCACTTCGACTCATGCATATATATCTATGGACTCGGCGCAGTGATATCATCAATCTGGAGAATGAGAGGGGTGAGAGGACTTTTCACGAGTGATGATATTACTGCGCCGAGTTGAAGTGCTCCCAATCACTTGCTGTGGTATTCTGCCATACAATATAGTTATACACACCATCCTAGGTCAAGTTACAGTACTCGTGTAACTGTATAATATCATATATTAAAGTTATATATTTAAACAAATATCCTGGCTCTTCCAAGCTTTATAATAGAGACCCTAAGTCCCGCCCCTCCGCTTCAGGCTCATGGGACCTTATTTCGGAAAAAATATGAATGGTAGTCAATGGCGAGAGACAACTTATCTTTTTATTCCGTCTGAACTGTGCCCTCGATTACACATATGATGTTTGTCAATTTAAAAGATAATTCTGAAAGTCAAAAACGTCTCAGTTTGTCATACAACAGAAGAGTAACATTTAGTTTTATGTGAAAATCGCTCTGTGAACTACATCTTCTGGGAAGCGAAACGAGATCCGCTGCTCGTGTGTGTGCAGTCTGGTACAAAACACTCAGGTATGATGGCGTAACGTTACGATTATAACGTAAGACTATAGAAACAATGACAGAAATTAGCCTCAGTAAAGTTAGCTTCAATTCATTGAGAGAAAATGTGCGCCTTTGGGGTTTGTAGTCTTTGTAATTACGTATTTTCACACTCTTATACCTCAACGGTTTTACATCAAACTGCGACTTTCTTTACTATAAAATGTATCATTTAAACTGACAAACATCTAATGTGTAATTCAGGGCACAATTCAAATGAGATCAAAATATTTGTTGTCTCTCGCCATTGACATACCATTCAATATTTTTCCGAAATAAGGTCCCATGGTGGTCGACCGGAAGGGGAGGGACTTAGGCTCTCTATAGGAGAGAATGGGTACCTTAGACCTCGAAGCCCAAAAAACTGCATTCATCCATCATAAAAGTAATACATAAGGCTCCAGGGGTAAATAAAAGCAACTTTTTTGTTAACTTTAACTATAATCACTGGATTGACCTCTTGATCATGAATTAGAAGTCTAAATTTGAGATGTATTGCAGTTTTTCGCACTTCCGGGTCGGCTTCAGCTTTCAGATTAGAATGTTGCCGCTTGCTCCCACATCCTTCGTCATGCGTTGTGTCAAAGGTAACTCTTCCGTGGGAACTAGACTCCCGTACGGCAGTTAACGGAAGCCAGTGATTATAGTTTATGAAGTTATAAATATGGATATTTTTCTCACAAAAAATGCATTGCTTTGCTTCAGAAGGACTTTATTAACCCCGGATGGATGCGCTTTTATGATGGATGGATGCACTTTTTTTGGGCTTCAAAATCTCGTCCTCCATTCACTGCCATTGTTAAGCTTGGAAGAGCCAGGATATTTTTTAAGATAACGCCGATCGCATTTGGCTTAAAAAGAAGAATGTCATATACACCTAGGACAGCTTGAGGGTAAGTCAATTATGGGACAATTTTCATTTTTGGGTTGAACTAACTCTAAAACAATGAATTAGCAGCACAGGTTGCAGTGGACCATTAAACCCACTAAAGCCAATGGTCAATAAAAATATAGTCTCCACACACAGAGGAGCAATCCCAAAGCTCTGTGCTGCAGCTGTTTCCATGGAAACTGCCGGGAGCCCCGGCCCACAGCCCTATGAGAGTAGAGCCCCTTCCTCAGGAGACCCTCATCCTCACATGCACCTCATCTGTGTGTTACACAAACAAATCATGCATATGCAAACATATCTGGGGCATGAAGTTTGAAGCAAAGGCATGAAGTATGGAAAGTTGACAGGTGATTCGACTGAAAAGGGAACCAGGGCATCTTGTCCCTTGGCTTCACCTCTTCCAAATCACAACCTCAGGCCAGTGGACACCCTGCGCTCTCTCTCTCTCTCTCACTCACTCACTCACTCACTCACTCACACACACACACACAATATCTTTTCAGGTAAGACTAGAGATGAATTAATGAACAACAACACTGTCTTACCAGCTGCAGGCAGCAGATGACCACCAGCGTGCACCTCCCGTCGCACGGACCCATGCTCTCGCGCTTGAGGCACGGCTTGGGCCCCGCGAGGCGTCGGGAGAAAGCGGAGTCCCCGGTGAGGTCCAGCGCGCTTCAGGGTCTTGCTTCACGATCACCGTTCAAAAACATCAAGAAGCCCACCGGGCCGCGTGCATGCTTCGTTGAGTCGATGCTTTCTGGTGTCTGCCGGTCATACCGGACCTCCTCCGCGGAATTGTCCTGACCGATGCGTCCTACAGGATCCCAATCTTAGCGGATCTGCCACACCTTCATTCCGCACCGGGTACCAGGCGCAGACAGCCCCAAAATAGCACAAAGAACAGAGAAGAGTCAGTGAGCGCGTTTAACTGGCAGAAATGAGCATCATATGATAAGCATCAGACGGAGCGCGAACAGGGGCGGGGGAGGGAGTGAGGGCGCGAGGTAAGAAAATAACGCAAATGAAATCCGGAGCGAGCACAAAGCAAGCCTTTGTGACTTACCGTGAGGTCCGTCCGGTATTCGTTTTTTTTCCGAGTCGATGTACCGTCGGGGGTCTCAGACTGGCTCTGTAGTTTGAGAGACCATCCTCCTGCTCCGACTCTTTGTCAACATCGGCACCGGGAGGAGGGTGAGGGTTTGTGGGTGGAAATCAGACACCCTCGTGCGAGTCTGACTGCAACCCGCTCGCGCAACCGCACAGAGACGCTCGTCGCGCGCTTGGCAAGACATGAGGCGTTTTACTCTGAGGCTGAGCACAAAGAAAACAATCATGCGGATGCGGGCGCTCTTATTACAATTACAAAGTAGAACATTTCTATATTTAAACAAATTTTACGTCAAAGTATGCAAGGTGTACACATGCGCAATATACACTACAGTTTTAGTACACACACTCTTACAGTAATATGTAGGCTATACATATAATATACAGTACATGTGTACACACGTGACACAACACACACACATATATATATGTGTGTGTGTATATATATATATATATATATATATATATATACACACATTTATGTGTGTGTACACAAAGAAATCAGAAGAATTTTTAGTTTCTCTTCAAACAATAAGGGAGTGTTTTGACTAAATTATCTGTTGTCTCACATTTGATGTGATATGCTCTATATACGTGCACTGTTTATGTATAAAAATGAATTAAAGTGTAAATTAAATAAATTCATCATATGAAGCAATTGTTTCTTTTTAGAAAACTTGGATTCCACTGTTGAATTCATAAATGATTACTTTTACCATGTTTAATACATTTGCAACACACATATTACAAAAACTTATGTTCGATGTGATTAATCGATTTGACAGCCCATATATATACATATATATATATATATATATATACATACAGCCATTTCATATACAAAGACAGTGCACATACAAATTTTGGAAACAAGTTTATTAAAAGCATAAAAAAAGCCAAAGTTTTTCAAATACCCCCCCCCCCCCCCCCAAACTGGTCATCACAATTTTACAACCAAATACAAATGGCAAAATTCCAAATAATATCTCCATCTGCCCATCCTCTTCTCATTCTCACATTCAGTCACACACATAAGCCGCATTCGCACACACAAACACAGTTACTGAATCTCTCCGATGTAGAGGCGCTTATCACTGGATCCAGAGAGAACTGTGGAAGACATAAAATATTGGAGTTACACATAGAGCAGAAAAGGGAAGAATGTGCTCGCTTTATCATTCCAGTTATATATTCTATTATTAGAATAAAATATTTTTTTTACCAATGGGTTCTTCTGGATGGAAAGCCACCTCATTTACAGACCCAGCATGACCAGGCAGCTTATAAAGGATCCTACGAGTTGTTGTGTCCCAGATATACACAAACCTACAAAACAAACACACCATATTAACCTCACACATAATCATAATGCACAAACACTGCATAAAGCACACAAAAACACCCTTACCTGTCAGCAGAACCGGCTGCAATCTTCCCCCCATCAGGAGACCAACAGCATCTGAGAAGATTCTGACAAAAAACCCTTAATTACAAAATGTTTTTAATGAACTTCCAGTTTAGCCTCAGCGATGTTAAAAAACCCTTAATTACAAAATGCTTTTAATGAACTTCCAGTTCAGCCTCAGTGATGTTTATTGAAAGAAATCATCAATAAGTCACCCCTGATCAAGGGTGTTCACACTTGCAAATTGCTTCACTTGGTCCGCTTAGCGTCCACATTGGCATTTTAACACTGAAGCTAAAGATACCGAACCAAAAGGCATAAGGATATGTTCACAACCTGATTGTTTTATGTATATTTCCCGACGTAACTTAGCGAAAATCCAAACGAACGCTGTGTTCTGGGATAAATGCGCTCGTTGTATGTGCATAGTTACATATGATGGTATTTTGACCAGTTGAACTTGTGAAGAGCTTATAAAATGTCTAAAGAAGTCAAAACAGTGTCAGGAATCCCTCAACAAAGATCTGCTGTGATGAGACTCGTTTCTGATGCCTAATGGGCAACATCGCGAATCTGTCCTTTTAAAGGTCACATCTTGTGACATCATGTACCGTTTTTGGTTTATTTGCATGTCTTTGGTCTGTGTTGCGTTCATATTTAATTCGAAACCGCACCAGTTTGTTTGGAATCTTTTCAGCGTCTCGGTCCACTTGTTTGGTGTCACCAGGGTCTGAATGACAGCGTTCACACTTATTCAGATGAACCGCACTAACAGAGCAATCGCACCAGTTCATTTTAATCAAACCAAACCTGCCATGTGTGAACACACCCTTAAAGTCTAGCTTTAAAAAAAATTGATAGCAGCAATCACAGTGGAAATCACATACTGTATTTATAAACAACAAAAGAACTATAAAACAAGGTAATCTCTTTTGTTGTTGTAAACATATACAATTAATTGTGCTTACCTTCTCAAAATTATGGACATTTCCCTGAAAGATCTTCACACACCTCTCCTTTGGCGCAAATGGACGGATATCCCAGACACGCACTGTCTCAAACACAGAAAACATCAGCAGACGTTTTACACGTAAACTCATTAATAACACGTACACATACACTCACCTAAAGGATTATTAGGAGCACCATAACCTAATACTGTGTTTGACCCCCTTTCGCCTTCAGAACTGCCTTAATTCTATGTGGCATTGATTCAACAAGGTGCTGAAAGCATTCTTTAGAAATGTTGGCCCATATTGATAGGATAGCATCTTGCAGTTGATGGAGATTTGTGGGATGCACATCCAGGGCACGAAGCTCCCGTTCCACCACATCCCAAAGATGCTCTATTGGGTTGAGATCTGGTGACTGTGGGGGCCATTTTAGTACAGTGAACTCATTGTCATGTTCAAGAAACCAATTTGAAATGATTCGAGCTTTGTGACATGGTGCATTATCCTGCTGGAAGTAGCCATCAGAGGATGAGTACATCATGGCCATAAAGGGATGGACACGGTCAGAAACAATGCTCAGGTAGGCTGTGGCATTTAAACGATACCCAATTGTCACTAAGGGGCCTAAAGTGTGCCAAGAAAACATCCCCCACACCATTACACCACCACCACCAGCCTGAACAGTGGTAACAAGGCATGATGGATCCATGTTCTCATTCTGTTTACGCCAAATTCTGACTCTACCATCTGAATGTCTCAACAGAAATCGAGACTCATCAGACCAGGAAACATTTTTACAGTCTTCAACTGTCCAATTTTGGTGAGCTCTTGCAAATTGTAGCCTCTTTCTCCTATTTGTAGTGGAGATGAGTGGTACAAACGCACACACACACACACACACACACATGTAAGCTTACCGCTGTTATCCATGGAGTTAGAGAGCAGGTAGGATCCATCTGCGCTGAGACTCAGACCGGTCACAGAGTCTCCATGACCCTGCATACTGTAAATCAATTTGTTTTGTCTGAGGTCCCACACCTGCAGCAATAAACACACATACAGACAAGAATAAACAATCAAAACATTCAAAAACAATTGAGGCGAAAAAGCTGTTGCACACAGACCTTTATGTCGTTGTCGATGCCTCCTGAGATGATCTGGTCACTGGTGTCATTGAATGTCACACTAAGAACCTGATAGGTGTTCTGGAACGTGTGAACAGAGGCCTTCTTCCTGATGTCCCACAGCTACAACAACACATGAACAAAGAGGAACCAATGACACTTTTAGACCATCAGTACACTCTTAGTTTTATTTAAAAAGCATGATGAGCAACAACCTAAGGACTTACTGTAACATCTATCATAATACAGACGGCAAACTTTATTTTATTGATTAGTCGGGGTGAAACGATACCCTCATGTTACAATTCGATACATATCTGAACTCATGATACAATATTAATGCGATACTCCAAGACGTATGATAAAAGGTTAACAAAAAAATGTACTGGTGATTAATGAAATGAATAGACTTTGACTTGCTGATAACCCAAAGCACAGGACAATGGACAACCAGAATTAAAATATTTATGATTCTGAAGCTGAAAATACAGAATTATTTTAGACGAATACTTTCACTCTGTCGCAGACTAGATATATTTAAAATAATTTAAGCAACATTTTACTGGTAACATGAGACATTTGGCATTATCAGGACCTACAAATATTCCCACATTGCATTATTATACATTAAAATCAAAATTATATATAATAGTTTAATGCAATACGGACACTAAAACTCTGAAAACTTGTAATTTTTATTTTTGGGTGAACCATTCACAATACAGTTTGTCCCTATCCACAATATGTATTATGACATATTGTGACACAATATATTGTTACACTCCTATTGATTAGCTATTTGCCTTTTTATACTAGAGAGACTATGATAGTGAAGATTTTCACTTAAAAGAGAGATTGGGTTCGGGACACAAACCAGGTCTAAAAACTAAAACTAGGCCATTTTGACTACATTATGCTAGGCTAGATTGAAAATGCATTGGAGTTTTGTGTTTAAGATTCATTTAAGACATGAAAGACTTCTTGTGGGTTTCCAGTCTAGACTCAGGGGTTCATTGGTGTCATGTTTACCTTTACAGTTCCATCATCGCTGCCTGTACAGGCCAGCTGTGGGCCACGGCGAGCCGGAAAACATGAGTTCACAAAGGACGTGTGACCTTTCAGACGCTTCACACGCTCCCCTGTCTCACTGTCCCACACGCATACGGTCTTGTCTGTACTGGCTGAGAACAGCAGACTGGAAGACACAAGCACACACTGAGTATGTGATGCATTATTCTTGAGTACATTCTCAAGAATAAATGTTCTTTGGTTCCATAAAGAACCTTTAACATCCATGGAATCTTTCCATTGCACAAAAGGTTCTTTTATAGCGAAAAAATGTTCTTTAGCTTTTTGCTTATAAAAAAAAATGGTTCTTTTAAAAAATGTTCACTGAAAGGTTCCACCAAAAATGGTTCTTCAATGGCATCACACCCTTTAAAACCTTTACTTTTGAGTGTACATGCTATATAAAGTGCCGAAGTTACGACGTGACTCTTTAGGCCAAAACGTGGAAGTGAGTTAGCATTTCTCGCTCTAAAGTCTATGGGTTTTTTCAATGGGTTTTTGCTAAATAGCCTGAAATAAGGCCTGTGATGAATAAAGCCTCTAAATATTTTCACGTTTTGATCTATGACATAGATCATAACACACAGTTATAACCAGCTTGTGCTTTTAAAAACTTTATATAGGCTTCAAAATGTATACATTTTGGATTAACTTGTAAAGATTATCTTGATAGTCAAAACGTGTAAGGGTCACAACTCTTTGTTGAACACAAATCTTATTTTTTGCGATTTTCCAAAAGTCTATGGGGAGAATCCATAGCTTTTCAATCGAGGGAACCCATGCGGTGCTAACTTCCAAGTTGTCCTACAAAGTGACGTCATCACTTCGGCACTATATTAGGAAGCTTTTTTAGAACAATATCTGTTCCACAAACGCACCTGCCGTCCGTATTATAATGAAGCTCCATCACAGCTCCAGTGTGGCCTTTAAGCGTGGCATAATTCTCACATTCTCCATAGACATTCCACATCACTACAGGAACATGAAAATCAGACATAAGCAACGAAAGCAAATCAATATAATAATCTAAAATAGTAAAAGTCATGTGACTCACAGATGAGGCGGTCATATCCAGAAGAGGCTAGTGTGGCTCCATTGGGGTGAAACTTGCAGCAGTAAACTTCCCCTTCGTGACCGGAGAGCAGCATTATGGGAGCCTGCAGACTGGAGCTGCGGGGGGGCCCCTGACATTAACACAAACAGATTAGTGTTTATGCAGGTGCAGTTAGAAATTCTCAAGGATGAAGAAGCCCCCCCATCATTTGACTGAAACGCTAATCTGTTCTGAAATCTGAAATCGATTTTAACCTTTAAAGTGAAGCAAATCCTTCTTGTTCGCTTCCATGCACTAATTCTTTCGTGTACTGTGGTCTCTCCTTTTTGAAGCATGTGAAATGTTCTATATTGATGTTGTTATTGGTGAGGGAAATATGTATGATGCTTAAACGCATGGTAGATATTTATACACACAAAGTGCAATAAAGGATAATAGGCAGTGTTGGGTAAGTTACCCTGAAAAAGTAATAAATTACTAGCTGCTAATTACATCTTTAAAAGTCAATTTAGATTAATGTACTAACTATGCTCTCTAAAAAGTATTGGATTACTTAATACTTACCAAATCCCATATCCATCAACCTCGAACAGTTGAACATTACAAGGATAGGCGTGAAACTGCACTTCTGATTCTTTCAAATAAATAATTTAAAATTGCATAAATTATTCTTGAACTGACCAATGTATGTAAAGGGAGAAGGTTACATTTAAAATAGATATTTTAACATTAAATTTTGATATAGAATTGTTCTATAGTCTATACAGTAAACTGTAATTAAATTACAAAAAAATAGAAGTAATGCCTTACTTTACTTTTCAAAGGGAAAATTAATTAAATTACACCCGACACTGATAAAAATGACTGGTTTTATCACTGGTTTTAGTTGTGAACGATTGAGAATGACTGAATTACTCGCTCATACTACTTACTTGTCTTCACTTACTGCCGTGACAATATTATGATGTGACATATTGAAAGTATTGAGTGTCCAAGACCTCTTTCACGTTTTAGCTTCACTGAATACTGAAAGTAATAAATGAAAGTGCCTTCATTTAATTAGTTTACTTGTATCTTTGACCAAATGTCACATTCATAAATGCAAGATTAGTAAATAAAAACACTTTATGGTTTTGTTGACTGGAGTTCGGCTGTAGACAGTATATTAGAGACTCTTTTTTGTGAGTTTTATAAAGTATTATTTGTTATTTATATAGACAATTATATTACAACAACCCTCGGTACTTTATCTTTCTTTTTTTTCTTTAGTTGTTTTATTTCTGTTTGTATAATTGTTCGATATTTCCACTGACTGGAATGAAAGTGAATGTATAATGTCAATATAACAACGTAACCGTTACATTGCCGTAACAATGTTATACACTGAACAATCCCCTTGGTGAATTGATTCAAAAGATTCGAGTCAGTGAATCAAAACCCCACTTCAACAGCATAGACAGCATATATGCATCTATGAGCAACAGTTAGTTGTTTTAATCTAATTCAGCTCTCAGTTTTACCATAGCAGAGAGTTGTTGCGACTGCGCTGCAGACACCAGTTCTGTCCGAGGTCTCTTCACACCGACGGGAACGACTGCCATCTCTAAACCGCGCTTCTTCGGTTCGATCATTGTCGTGAGAAATAAACGAAACAATAAATGAAAAGGTTTCAAAACTGCGAGCTTTTTTTAAATGAATGAGTATTCCGAGCTTCCCACCACCATCGAGCAACACACGCTCGCCAAGTAAAACACATCCGGTAGCACGAAGCCTTCTGATTGGCTGGCTCACACAACTCGCGGTCTTATTGGTTACTGTTAAAACTCTGAACCGGAAGAAAATACAGTCACTCACGGAAATCGTGTGTCATCCAAACAAACAAGAGGAATGTACCGTCTGCATGTATTTACGTTTAGTGTTTTATAGTGTATTATGGATTTACTATATTTCCATCGGATGAAGATTTTTGGAATTTAAACTGCGACTTTTTAGCGCGTGCATATTGGACTTTTCTTATAGATCGCTTTGAAAAAAATAAGAGTGGAATGGTCTACAAACATGTATTTACGTTTTGCGTTGTGATGTGTTTTTAGTCGTGTATAATGGAGTGACGTGTCTGGCAGTATTTACATTTTACCATATTTTATCGGGATAAAAAAAAAGATTTTTGGAATTAAACCTGCGACAATTTAACACATGCATGTTGCAGTTTACTTATAGATTTATTTCAAATTACAGTAAAGGGTCCTCGATCTGAACCCATCTGGGTAAGTTAATATAAGCACTAACTGGCGTCTAGATGCAGTGTTCAATGGCTGGATTTGTTTAATACATGTGTACCTCTGCAGGAGTGATGGAGGAGGAGTGGGCGAGAGAGCCAGCCGGTCTGGATGGAATCCCACCAATGTACAGCATTCTGAAAGGAGAGGTTAGATCTAAGAGTAAACATAAAGAATCTAAAATCACATAAAAAATTTTCTTTTACTGATCTCCCATTTCTTACTTGCTTAGGTAGTGTCTGTTACAACATACGGCGCTTTTGTGAAGATTCCAGGTTACAAAAAACAAGGTAAAGATGGTTAGTAACTGAGATGCGTGTTCTCATTTAAAGGTATGTTTTAGCTTACCTCAAGGGCATCCAAGATGTAGGTGTCTTTGTTTCCGCAGTAGTTTCAATTTTCATATTTGTAGGTCAAACCGTTCTTGTCTGTCAGTCATATAATGGAGATCTATGGTCACCACCTCAAAGAGCATGCACATAGAACTAATTAAACATGATTTAATGACTCATAAATGTAAGTACACATTGATGGCCTAAGACACGAAAAGTATTTATATCGTTTTTACCTCTTGTAACCACGTCCCAAGTTATCTGAAGGCACGTGCGCTTCGGTCTGTGCATACGCCGGAAAGCCCCGGAAGTGATCTCTCGCACGGTTGCGAATTAAAAATCAGCATTGTCTGTTGATATATCGAAATCTTATTCTTCCATTGCAATTTCTTGTATATCTAAATATGTTTAGATCTTTACAGTGAAGGTTAACACTTCTAAAATCTCTGTGTAAACAATGAGTGACGTACACACGCGAGAGATCACTTTTGGCGCTTTCTGCCGCTTGCGCAGACCGAAGCGCCCTCGCCCTCAGAGTACTTAGACGTGACTGTGATTAAAAGAGGTAAAAACGATATAAATACTGTTCGTTTTCTCACACAAACCGCTCATTTCGTGCCTTAGGCCATCAATGTGTACTTTATTTACAGGTCATTAAATCATGTTCAATTTGGACTTCTCTGTGGATGCTCTTTGAGGTGGTGACCATAGACCTGCATTATATGACTGACAGACAAGAACAGTTTGACCTAAAAATTTCAAAATTGAAACTAAAGACACCTACATCTTGAATGCCCTTGAGTTAAGCTAAAACATATCAAAAATTAATTTCAATGTGAACTATCCCTTTAAAGAGATAGATCACCCAAAAAATTAAAAGTATTCATTATTTACTTACCCTCATGTTGTTTCAAACCCGTAAGACTTTCGTTCGTTTTCGGAACACAAATTAAGATCTTTTTGGATGAAATCCGAGCCTCCTTTGACAGCTACGCAACTACCACTTTGACGCTTCTAAAAGTTCATAAAGAGATTGTAAAACTAATCCATATGAATTTCTGAAGAGAAACGATCACGTTATATGTTTTATGATCTCTTCATGAACTTTTTAAAGTGTAAAAATGGCAGTTGCATAGCTGTCAGTGTAAGGACAAAAAGCTCTCAGATTTCATTAAAAAGACCTTCATTTGTTTTGATCTTCATAAGGTTGAATAATTAATTTTTGGTGAACTATCCATTTAAATCAACGAATATGAATACACACATAATTACTTATGTTTATTTGTGTTTCAGGTCTGGTTCATAAGAGTGAGATGTCAGCCTGTCGGGTGGACAACCCATCTGAAATAGTTGATGTAGGGGAGCAAGTGTGGATAAAAGTCATTGGCACAGAGGTACATTCAGTTATTACACCGATATATCAACAAATTGATACTATATTTGACATGCAGCAGTGATTAATTTAGCGTCTTTCATAATGCAGTTATATTTTTTAATAGTGCTTTTTGTTTTCTATCCACTATCAGATGAAAGATGATAAAATCAAACTGTCCTTCTCTATGAAATGTGTCAATCAAGGCACTGGCCGGGACCTAGACCCCAACAACGTCATGGCAGAGTACGTGGATCTATTGTATACGAGTGCTGTATTTATACTAGGTTAAATACACCTGGTTTCACAGACAAGGCTGAAGGCTAGTCCCACACTAAAATGCATGTTTGAGCTGTTTTAACTGAAAGCAACTTGCAGTGGCAATGGCATATCTTAAAATATGTCAATGCCAATGTTTTATCTCAAGATGCACATCAGAAAAAAAAAAGCCACTTAAATGGCCTAATTGAACTAAGGCTTAATCTAAACCCAATCTGTGAAACCAGGCCATATATTGAGGTAGTAATTATACTATCCCTTAAAGGGATAGTTCACTTTGAAATTAATTTTTGGTATGTTTTAGCTTACCTCAAGGGCATCCAAGATGTAGGCGTCTTTGTTTCCACAGTAATACAATTTTCATATTTTTAGGTCAAACCGTTCTTGTCTGTCAGTCATATAATGGAGGTCTATGGTCACCACCTCAAAGAGCATGCACAGAGAAGTCCAAATTAAACAATTTAATGACTTGTAAATGTAAGTACACACTGATGGCCTAAGACACGAAAGGAGCGGTTTGTGTGAGAAAACGAATAGTATTTATATCGTTTTTACCTCTTGTAATCACAGCCACGTCCAGGGCGCTTTGTGGCTGTGGTTACAAGAGGTAAAATGATATAAATACTGTTCGTTTTCTCACACAAACCGCTCGTTTCGTGTCTTAGGCCATTAAATTATGTTAAATTTGGACTTCTCTGTGCATGCTCTTTGAGGTGGTGACCATAGACCTGCATTATATGACTGACAGACAAGAACGGTTTGACCTAAAAACATCAAAATTGAAACAAAGACACCTACATCATGGATTCCCTTGAGGTAAGCTAAAACATGCCAAAAAATATTTCAAAGTTAACTATCCCTTTAATAAATGTTGTTCACTCAGACAGGACGAGCGTCGCCGGAGACAGTTCAGAGATTACGGCAGGCAGAAGATCACATTGGAGGCTGTGCTCAACACCACATGCAAAAAGTGTGGCTGCATTGGTACGAAACTCCAGGTTGTGTCAACCTCACCCGATACTAGTGCACATTAGACCCATGACCCTTTACAGACTGCCTGATTTTATCACAAGCTCAACTGAAATGCTGTACCAACAAGATTTAGCCAAATGAAAATCATTATCTTTCCTCACCACTTTGACTTTAGTACATTTTCGGGTAAAACTAAGTCAAATCTGCTGAAAACCCACTATAGCTTAGATTATATAAGGATGGAGTTAGTCGTGATGTGCCTTCTATTTAAAGCATAAGTGTTTCTGTTTGTCATTGCAATCGTTAAATGTTGTGGTCTGTTTAGTATGAACTCTTCTGCTGACCAAGGCTGCATTTATTGGATTGAAAATTCAGTAAAAAGTGTAATATTGTGAAATATTATTACAATTTTAAATAACTTTATTTGAACATATGCAATTTATTCATGTGATGCAAAAAATATTTTAGTGTCATATGATCCTTTAGAAATCATTCTGATTTGCTGATTGCATTTTTGATTATTATAAATGTTGAAAACAGTTGTGCTGCTTGAAATCATGATACTTGAAATATAGAATTGTTGTCATCCACAAACTAGTTTATATTACAGCAAACACTTTTAATGTCATACACAATCATTGAGTGTGTCACTTTCACGGCCTTCATTTGCAGGTTGTATGTGTGATCCCTGAACACCTGTTATGACGGCGTTCAGGTTTTAAATAATGACGTGTATTTATGTTTGCATGCAAGGTCACTTTGCAAAGGACTGCTTCTCTACTCCTGGCCTGCAGTACAGCTTAGTGCCAGAAGAGGAGGAGGAGCCAACCAGCAACCAGAACACCCAGTCAGAGCCCCAGAAACGTAAAAAGGTGTGGACACACCCCAGATACCAAAATTATTGCACCAGATGACACTCTGCAAGCAAGTGGTTGTGAAACCTTGCCACTAAATCCTGCAATACTTCCCTACTATTAGCCAACTTCATCCGTCTTTCATTTGCATGCTCATGATGCCTTTTTTTCATGCAGGAAAAAAAGGCAAAGAAAGAAAAGAAGAAAAAGAAAGAGAAAGAAAAGAAGAGAGAGAGTTCTTCATCTGATAGCGGAGCGGAAGATGCCAAACGGCCAAAGCATTCACACACACACTCGGACAAGAAGAAGAAACACAAGAAACACAAACACAAGGCTAAGTAATTTTGGTTTGCAAATCCATTCAAACTTGCGCGTGTCGTTTCATTATCCAGATTAAATGTATCTGGTGTATTTTTTTGTTGATATTAAAAATAATTTGACCATTAAAAGAGACTGGCTTCTTGTGTGAAGGTTAAAAGGTTCACTGCACTACCTCTGAATGGCCCTTCACCCAGAAACACACAGACCCACGCGCTCGAATGGCCCTTCACCCAGGAACACACAGACCCACGCGCTCGATATAGAACAGGATCACGTCAGCCAGCAGACACTGGAGCATGCTTAAATTAGAAAGACCTCACGGAAATAAGCGTCCTTTTGGAAAATGAAAACGTACCGTAGAGCACTGGAGCGCTTAATGTAAATGTTGATAGTAAACAGCACAAGGTGAATTTGGAGCAAATGTCATTTATTAGTAACCCAAAGGCATTTGACGTAACACTGACTGCAGAGGCATAACACATATCCAGAATAAGATATAATACAGACATCTGGAGGTATGAGGTTGGAATTTCTTCAGTGTTTGAGGAACGGTGCAAATGAGAAGGTGCAAAACACTGGAAATGTACATGACCGTTGATGTGAATGAAGTTTCTCTTTATTCCGCCTTTATATAGTGACGTGTGGAGACGACGTCGCCCAGTGTCAATGTCTGTTAATAAAAGAAAGAGGTTGGTCTGTATTGATACAGTTATTCATGCAGTCAAACACCCATAAATATTGACAAAAGTAATTACTTAAATGGGCAGCAGAACCTGTTATGCTTTTGCTGACTGTTCTCGGCCAAAAAGGCACTTACTGTGAATACACACAATACTGACCAGAGTGAGACTGTTGTCGCTGACTTCTCGGACCAGGGTCGTCTCTTTACCGTCCCATTTCTGAACGTGAACCAGTTTGCCTCCATCTAAAGTTATCAAGGACTGGAGAAAAACAGAGTAAAGGAAATAAGACAAGGAGTTTGTTCTTGTAATACGATCTTTTTTTTTTTCCTTTTGCTGCCCGGGAGCAGCGACGTCTGAGCCTACATCAATGATTGACCCGATGAATGTCACAGCACAGGTCAAGCTCTCATTGGGGCTCTTGTTTGCCCTCAACAAGACCCTATTGTGTCATCCAAGACTATATTAACTGCCCAATTCATAACGTGTCAGTTGTGAAATTATCCGTGCCTTTCACAAGTCTCAACGCACAGGACTATTGTAATTGTAAGCGAGACTAATGCGTGAGATTTTATCACCTTGACTGCGCGGTCATCAGCCGTGGTCTCATCGAATTCCTCTCCCAGTTTGAAGTTGATTTCCGTGCTTTTGAAAGTGCTGACTGTCTTAAGTGTGAAGACATCGCCCTCCTTGGAAATGATGGTTGTGGGTTTGGTCATACTGCCAACCTGACGCGTGGCAAAGCCCACACCTGATAAACAAACACACTTTCAGGAAAAAGTACAAAACAATGGAATTCACATGGAACCAAAGATGCTTTTAAAGATTGTAATGTTGGTAAAGGGTTTAATTAAAGCTCTTAAATATATTTTAGGAACCAAATTTGTTTTTAAAAATGGCCATGAAGCTAAAAACTAAATAGAGCTTAAATAAAGTCCTTTATTTTATATATTACAATTAAAAATTGTAAAAAAAACGGGACAAAAAAGCTAATAAGGAAAGAGCATCTGCATAGCTTAAGGCCAGTATATTAATAATTAAACAAATTTTGCATTAATATTCAGTGGTTAGTCACAACTGAACACATCTTTGCAAAATAAGCAAACTCTGGAACGGTCAAATCATACGGGTTTGGGAGAGTGCAGCAATTACTATTGATTTGTTCAGCAAACACTGCAAGGGTATGTCCGAACGCCAACGTGTTCTTTAACCACATATAAAGGGTAGGAAATCAGGGTTCACTTCAGTTCACTCAAGATTAGTGAATTTGAGACCGGTTAGTAAGAAGGGAGTAAGAAAGAAAAATCCCCCAGTCTGTCTCACCCATGCTTTCCTCCCTCCTTCACGCTATTCCTTTCATACAGATGCACACTGATTGATTCACACCCCCATCTTCCTCTTTTAAACCTCAACTCACTCAACAGTACTTAATAAAATACTAAATCCGATGCATCTGGCCCAAAAAATATATAGACACAGATGTTTCAGAGTAACAAAATATCAAGGATCAAGGTCATGGAAAATGCACTGAATGAGTTCAATGGCAAAATAAAGGGCTCATTGTATTTTATACAAGACAACAGCAGATGCTCTGTATAGTAATGAATGCATGTGGTTGTGTGTGAGAGCACGTGTGTGTGTGTGTGAGAGTGATTCATCGAGACCTTCCATGCACCATATGCACTCTCTCACACACACATGCACCTTGCACACACAATAAATGTGTCTCACCCATCCCACTCTGAAACGCACACCCAAATTACATGTGCTTACTTGCATCAAAAGGCACACACCCTACATCTAGCTGTAAAGCACACACACACACACACCGACCGCACACATCCTACTCACCGAGGGCTTTCATGTACTCATCAAAATTCTTGCTCTCCTTTAAGTTCCATGTGCCAACAAAAACGTCTGCCATGTTTGGAGCTGAGTGAGAGAGCAAGAGCAGAAGAATGAGAGCGAGGAAGAAAGAAACACAGAGGAGGGTAAGAGAGCACCACTGAGCTTCTGCGATCTTACTGGCCGATTTATAACTGCTGTTTGTGATGTCATCACTACAAGCTTGGGGGGTGAAAGAGGGAGGAGCTGAACCAGAGAGAAGAGGAGAGATGAGTGACAGGCGGGGGGAGATGGGAATTGTAGGACAATCAGTTAAGAACAATAGAATAAAGAAAGACAAGGAGGTTGAGGAACTGTGCAAAATGAAAGGGATAGTTCAGCCAAAAATGAAATCATTTACTCACCCTAAAGTTGTTCCAAACCTGAATGAGTTTCTTTCTTCGGTTGAACACAAAAGAAGATATTTTGAAGAATGTCGGTAACCAGGCGGTTGACGGCACACATTGACTTCCATTGTATTTTTCTTCCTACAATGGAAGTCAATGGCTACGGTCGACTGTTCGATCACAACATTCTGATGTACACATTTAAAATGGATATTCATTTAGAGATGTGCTGAAGATAACATTTAAATAAAATTTTAAGTGTTTTAAAGATTAACTTAATCTAAACGTAAAAATAGCACACGTAATCTAAATATAAAAATAGAGGAAAAGAGCATTAATCATTAAATTTCCCAAACTGGCCCATATTGTTAATGTCTAATATCACTCAATATCTGTTATAATTGTGCATCATACCCTACTTAAAAAAAAATGTAAAAAATAAAAATGAATTTTATTGCATTAAAACACAAAGTAAAAGCGAGTAGTCCACTTTTGCTGATAAAAAAAAAAAAAAACTTTTGCTGATAATTTACTCACCCCCATGTCATCCAAGATGTCCATGTCTTTCTTTCTTCAATCAAAAAGAAATTAAGGTTTTTGAAGAACATTGCAGGATTTTCTCCATATAATGGACTTCAATGGGGTCCAAAGGTCCAAATGAGAGTTTCAGCGCAAACTGTTCAAAAGGCTTTAAACGACACCAGACGATGAATAAGGGTCTTATCTAGGACCCTTTGAATCATGACTCGAAAAAAAATTTGTTCATTTTGATGAACGTGTTTGAACAGGAGAGTCACGAACGCTCATCACAGAACAGAGCAAGGTGAGCATTTGAGCTTATAAACCTTAAACTTTTTTATTTATTTTTTAAATGGCCGCTCGTTTCGCTTGATAAGACCCTTATTCATCGTCTAGTGTCGTTTAAAGCCCTTTGAAGCTGCACTGAAACTCTCATTTGGACCTTGAACCGTTTGGACCCCATTGAAGTCCATTATATGGAGAAAATCCTGGAATATTTACATCAAAAACCTTAATTTCTTTTTAACTGAAGAAAGAAAGACATGGGCATCTTGGATGACAAGGGGGTGAGTAAATTATCAGCAAAAGTTTTTTTTAAAAAGTGAACTACTCCTTAAACCAAGTGGTCTAATTTTAGTGGATGTATAAGTCACTTGCCTTTCATCTTGAAATTTCTTTGTACCGGTAGTTTAAAACCAAATGAATGTCTTTTTGAAAAGTATGTTGATTGAAATTGTGGTTTGGTTTGATATTTTGTTTAGTTACATTTATCATTCATGCATTTAACAGATGCAAAGCAACATTATGTAAAGACATTCATTCATTTGCCTGGAGAGCGAGAGAAAGAGCAAGAGAGCACAGCGAGAAGGGGGGAGGAGTGATTGATATTGGGACTGGAGTCAGGCCATATTCTCTCTCTCTTTTACAAGCCACTGAGGACATGACCTCATGTCAGAGGACTCGCTCTTCCCAGCCTCTAAACTCTTTGACTGACTGTGTTTGGCCATTCTGCTCAGTAAGAGGCAGCGAAGGTCGAGTCGTGTCAGCTGCTGTTTGTACAATAATCACCAAATCATTGCACCGGTATCGCTAAATTTTTCCCCGGCCCATCCTCTGAATTCACAAGTGTTTGCAAGAAACGGACGATTGTTTGAGCATGTGTGTGTGTGTGGTGAAGAACATCAAGAAGGATCCAAATGCCAGGATTTGCACGCAATAATGTCTAGGGTTAACTCAGAACTCTTGAATTTTTTAGAGTTTGTAACGCGAGCAGCTGTTCATGAACGCTGGACATCTGGTGCACAGATGACCAACAACAGCTTTTAAGAAAAAGCCAGGAACAGATCTGTAATGAGTCTATACCCTACGGAGCCCCTAAAGGGACATGGCGATTTGCATTCTACTGAGAACTCATTTAAAAAAAACAAGCAAATGCAAAGTTTCTCAGGGGAACGCAGACATTTTTGTAAGAAAAAGTAAAAGTATCGATTTTTTCTCCCATCCAATATGTTTTTCCTTTAGGGGCTCCATTATACCTTTTGATAAAACCCAAAGAAAACTTATTAGATCTACAGTGAGAAGTTTTTGGGTAACGAAAATAAAAATGAAATAAAATTGAAATAAAATATTAGATTTAAAAATGTAAAAAAAAAAAATATTGAAGTTAAAGTGCCACAAGTGAACAAAAAAAATTAATAA